AAAAAGTGTGAAAATCAATGTGAAACGGGTAGTGAGGGTGGCATTGTCCAGTGTGATTCCAGTGTTTTGCAGTGCCCGGCACATATTCTTTAATTAACATCATTACAGTGGTTAGGAGACAATAAAATTTTTTTCTTTCAATTTATATGTACCACTTTTTTAAAAAACCAGCTACTAAGCTGTTAGGATGCAACTAATTACTAAGTTACTTAGGCTTAACTCACTGATAAACAAAACTATAATGTATTTCTTTGGACCTAGAGGAGCCATGAAAACATGGCTGAAACTCTAGGAGTCCCTTGAATCTAGAGGGCTTGAGAACCCCTGTCATATTCATACTAAAAAAAAAAAAAAAAGAAACAAAGGGGAAAAAAAAGAAAGAAAAGAAATTTGTGATTAGACTGTGATACTCTATCTTTTAAAGTATGAAGGAATCTTCATTGTTACGAATGAAAGCTTTTTAAGGGGTCAAGAGAAGATGGAGGTATTTCTTACAATTTTTCCTATTGCCAAACTCCATATTTCTATTATAACTGCTTCCTTGAAAAGGTCTTGAATACTTCATGACCTTATGCCAGATCTTTTTAGTGCATGCCAGGAGCCAATTCTTTATTTAAAAAAGTAACTTTACTGTTGTCTTTTAAAAATGATAACAGCAGTCATTATTTTTAAATTTTTTTATAATATACAACTGTACAAGTCAAAGAGAAAAGAAAATCACTCTAGACTCTCCAACTGTGAAGTAATTAACATTGCTGACATTTGGTGGTTAGTCTAGACATCTCTCATACATTCAAACTATAAGGATAGAAAGTTGGTAAGTTTTTAAAAATTGAAGTGATCTATTGTAGTTTTCTAAAAGCAATTAAGTTTAATTTTACTTAAATTCAATAAAAATGTACCAAAATGAAAATGAATTGATTTATTTCAAGTGAGGTTTCTTCATGAGAGATTATATTTTATTAAAATATCCCTCAAAATTAAAAAAAAAATGAAGTCATTTTAAAAAGAAGTTTGCTGCGCCCCTCCCCTGACTCAGGCAATGGCAAGGCCCTACTGAGGTGGATGGCACAAGGCGTCCATCCTCTGGAGGAGCGCAGTATGTTTCTGGGAATGGGCTGATTTATTTTTGTATTCCTTTAATAAGTATAGTTGCAACTTCTCATATGACCATTAAGTATGAAGGAAAAAACATGACTTTCCAATTAATGCAACTACTTCTAAAGAATAGATCTGTTTGCTCTAAATGCAATGATTCAGCTGTGGAGTGTAAATTGTTAATGTCTAATGAAAAACTCCCTGTATTCCTGTCAAGGAAGTTTTTGAGAAATTAGATTAAAATCTAGAGAAGAAAAATTAATGTTAAGAAGACAGATTAGTGCTTAGTACTGGGCAACTTGTTCTTGTTCCTGTGCACAATGGTTTGTGCTCTTACTCTTGTTTGATTACACTTGCCATAACCATGCCATCGGTTCCAGTCAGTAAGTCAAGAAAGAATAGTCAAGGTATAGGCCAATAGTTTGGGACATTTGTAACTATTATTAAAAGTTAACTAAGCAGAAACAGCCCAAAGCAAAATGCGAACTGAAAGTACAAATGCTTGCTTATGCATAAGCCAAGATACATTCTTCTATTCTAATTGTAGCTACGTAATATTTTGTTTCTTTGAATAATGATTCCTGTTTTGTAACCACAAAGTACTGTGAGCCTGCCAAAATGAAAAGTATATATGATCAGCTTCAGAAGTAAAGATTGGGATCAACACCTTCACTTTGGTGTCTGTGTTGTTTCTCCACCCCTCTTTCGCCGACTCCTCACCATCCGTTCGTCTCCTGAGACCCCCTGTTGGAGCTTGTCTCCGACAGAAGTTAGAGTCCTGCTTACACTCCAAGTTTCTGTTTCTTAAGATGCTGGGGATCAAACTCAAGGCACACATATAAAACAAGTGATTTGCCACTGAGTTACACCCCAGCCCCATACACTACAAATTGTAACCTTAAATGGCTTCTATAGATAGGAAAACAGGAAATTAGAGCACTTAAACTTTATCCCAAGGGGGAGCCCTTGCCCACTTAAAAAATAATTATTTTTATATTGTCAAAGTTCACTGACATTTATATTCTATTCTGTAATCACAATTGATTTTTCTACTGTTACATATAATTAGAACAAATAAAACAATTGATTTTGTTTCTTACTTATATGTTGCAATATCTTCACAATCCTGAATTAGTTTAATTCAGAAATCTTGATTCATGTTCTAGAACATCTTGTGTTCTTTTTTTTTTTTTTTTGCTTGTTTGTTTTTCAAAAAATAATCAGGGTTGTTACATCTGCCGGGTTATTGCATGCTTAAGGATATCTATCCATTGCCTTTATTTGTTATCTGAAGGAAAAAATAGTTTGGGGCTTTTGGATTCCTTCAGAAGTCTGTATACATTGCTATATTCCCTTCTAGAAAGAAATATCACAGTGTAGAAGAAACCCTGTAACCAACCTTTTTTCTCCTTCGGAGATGATTTGCTATTTCTGCCTGAAATTCAAGAAAATGCCTTATTATTGGGGAAAAGAAATGTAACCAGGTTTTATCTTAGTATTGATTTTCCCCCCTAATACAGAGTACCCATTCAGTTGTCAGACCTCATGCCGTTATTTGTTCAAATTCATTTTCATCCATTCATTCTCTTCCTTTTTCCTGAAGGACAACATTATATTCATTTGAATTACTTTTTCTGCCTTCCATCTTTTTATTATCATGAAATATATACGTATAACATAAATTGACCATTTTAACCATTTTGAAGCATTAGTTCAATGGCACTAAGTATATTCACAATATTGTACAATCGTTCACCATGCAATACAGTTCCAGAACTTCATCATCCCAAAGAGAAACTGTGTCCATTAACAATAACTCCCTGCTTTTCCTCTCCCTGATAACACCTATTCTACTTTCCCTATGAACTTGACTATCCTAGGTACCTTATGTAAACGAAATCACACTGTATTTGCCCTTTTGTACAAATATCCTTGTATAAACCTGCATCTGATTTATTTTCCTTAACATAATGTTTCAAGCTTCATTCATGTTGTAACATATATCAGAATTTCATCTTTTTTTTAAAGACTGAATAATACTCATTTGTAAGTATATAACAAATTTTGTTCATCCACTTAGCTGTTGATGACCATTTGGATTATTTCAACCTTTTGGCTATTGTTGCCGCAGTGAACTTTGGTGTATAGGTTATCTGTGTACCTGGTCCCTGCTTTCAGTTCTTCTCAGCGTATACCTAAAGTGGAATTGCTGCAGCATATGATAATTCCATATTTATTAAAGATTCCACATACTATTTTCTACAGTGAGTGCACCAATTTAACCAGAATGGTTACCTTTATGTTATGTAAATTTTGCCTCAAATTTTTTTTTCGAATGTTTTGTTCTATAGCACCCTATTCTGCCTCGTGGTTGTTATATTTTATATGAACTCTTTGAAGAAGATGTTTTTGTCCCTGTAAACTCACAGTTTCTGTCTAGTTGCTTTCTCACATAATTGGCATTTCCGGGATATCCAATAATCCTAAATAGCTTGCTCACCTCCAAGAGAGGGAGACAATAAGCTAAGGCAAGTGCTGGTCACTGGGTGGCGCTCTGGTTTGGTTCTAGAATAGTCCCCAAAGGCCCAAGTATTAAAGGCTTGGTTCCTGGCTTGGCAGTTTTGGGAAGTGGTGGAACTTTTAAGAGGAGGACCTTGTGGGGTCTTTAGTTCATTGGGGTTGTGCCCTTTAGGGGAATAGTGGGGCCCAAGCTCCTTCTTCTTCCTCTTTCATATCTGGGCTATGCGGCGAGCAGCTTGATGTGCTGCCACAAGCCCAAAAGCAACGGGGTCAACCAGTCATGGACTGAAACCTCCAAAACCCTGAGCAAAAAAAAGCCTTTCCTCTTTATGAGTTGATTATCCCAGCATTTGTTATTGTTTTGTACTGAGGATTGAACCCAGGGTGCTCTACCACCGAGCTACACCCCCCAGACCTTTTTATTTTTTTGAGACAGGGTTTCACTAAGTTGCCAAGGCTGACCTTGAACTTGTGATCCTCCTGCTTCAGTCTTCCCAGTGGCTGGAATTGCGGGCATGTGCCAACATGCCCAGTATTTTTTATAGTAACAGAAAGTTGACTAACCAGCAGGGCTTTGAACGAGGAGCTCTGTTGCGAGTACTTGGTGGACTTTGTGTTAGGAAATAACCAATACTGGAATTTTAAATAATTTTCTTTTTGAATTGGTCAGATTCTTTCTTTTTGGTTTGTTCAGATTCTAAAAATCTCTGGCCTAGAAGTTGAAACCGTAGCTGTCAGTACTGCGGAAGCTGAGTCATAAAAAGAACAGAGATTTAGTTGTTAATATGAAAGCTGACACAAATATCTATTAAAAGACAAAAACTAAAAGTTACCTTTTTTATATTGACATTATTGCCCCAAATACTGTCAGCATACATTTTAAATTTTGAGGTATTTATTTTGTAAAATAAATACCTGAGATAGATACTCACTATAAATACAAAGTGTATTAACCTAAATATACAAAAAAGATCAATAATAATATGACAATGAATCACTTTCCCGAAAGAAGGAGGATATTCAATATAAGAAAGAGTAAAGAACATTCACAGTAGGAAAAATCATTTACATATTTAGAAACCATGATAAAGTTAACAGAGAAAACTATAAACTATATAGCTCCTTGGGGCAAAGGGTATATCTCAGTGGTAGAATGCATGTGGAAGCAGGCACAAGGCCCGGTTTCAATCCCCAACACCAAAAGAAACCAACCAACAAACAAAAATTGTAGCCCCTTTCTTGATCTCCAATACGATGGTGGGATTTCTTGGAATAACCAAGATATCCTTTCTACACACTATGAAGAATGAAACCACTGTCTATATAACAAATGACATGTGATTATCATTTCAAGTTTGTAGACAGGTGATAATTCTTCTATTTTATCCACGGTCATTGAAAATTCTTACTAAAATTCCTGCTAAAAGGACAGCAATAGCCACAGCTAAAGCCATTCCACGATAGAGTATCAACTGTTTCACTGTCAAGACATCCCCAATGGTTGGCACTGCATACTGGTTGTTTTCTTCCAGTGACATGAGTTGGCTGATCTGGCTCTCTGGTCTGATGATATCAGGCAAAATCACTCCATCAGTTGTTTCTCTTTCAAGGTTTGGGAGATCTATTTGAAGAGAACAGTTGGGCATTCACTTAACTACTGAGTTAAGGAAAAGGTCATTAGTGGAGTTACATAGCACAGGTTGAGAACAGAGTGTTTAAAAAAAAAAAAATGACCATTGAGCCTGGCATGGTGGTGTACACCTATAATCCCAGCAGCTCAGGAGGCAGAGACATAAGGATCTCAAGTTCAAAGTGAGCCTCAGCAACTCTGAGATGAGATCCTAAGTAACTTAGCAAGACCCAGTCTCAAAATAAAATATAAAAAAATGGCTGGGGATGTGGGTTAGTATATGTGAAATTACTTTACAAAGCATTTCAAAGGAAAGTCCAGAGTTGATCAGGCCAATTGTTATGGCTGAGACAAATTATATTTAGTAAGAGAGTAGAATCTCATAAACTAAACAACTCTGGCCACATTAAGTTTCAGTCTATGTAAGGCAGAAATAGAGTATAATAGAAAATGGCCTCTACTACCTGTTGTGGTCGGTAGAGTCTCTTTAGTACCTTTTAGCCCAGCACGAATCTGTGCCTAAAAACAAAAATCACATGAGTACATGAAGTACAAATCAATTCAAGCTGGTAGTCTGATTAAAATTTCAATTTAAAGATACTGCTGAGCCTCATCAATGTTTATAGCAGCTCAGTTCACAATAGCTAAGCTATGGAACCAACCTAAGTGCCCTTCAACAGATAAATGGATAAAGAAAATGTAGTATATATACACTATGAACTCTTACTCGGCCATAAAAAGAATGACCTTCTGATTTTTGCCAGTAAATGGATGGATCTGGAGACTATCATGCTAAGGTAAAATAAGTCAATCCCAAATACCAAAGGTCAAATATTCTCTTTGATATGTGGGTGCTAACACAACAAGGGGTAAAGGGAAGAATAAAAGTTCACTGGATTAGGCAAAGGGGAATGAAGGGAAGAGAGGGGGATAGGAATAGGAAAAACAATAGAATCGATCAGACATAACTTTCCTATCTTCATATATGAATACCCCACAGTGATTCTCACCATCAAGTACATCCACAAGACTGGGATCCTAATTAGAATAAGTTATACTCCATGTATGCATAAAGTATCAAAATACACTCTATTGTCATGTACATCTGAAAAAAACAAATTAAAAAAAGAAACAAAAACAGATACTACTGAAACTACTGCTAAAGTATTACAATATCTAGTATAGTCTTTCTTGGTCCAAAAAATGCCATTTTCCCAAAGAACATAACATCAGGAAACCATAGGTTTTCTCCACATTGTTCAGCTCACCATCATAAAATAAAAAGCTGATTGTGACTACAGTTGCAAACATAATAGACTATTTACACATTGTGCCTCTTGTGTTCCTACACAAAGATAAAATGAATAAAAGATAAAGGTAAATGTGTACATCACTGTCTAAAAGTTAGTGTATGGTCCAATTTCATGTCTATATGCTCTATTCATTCAATATAATCAAACTGAGCATAGGAAAGATATACTACATCATTATTAGGCGAATCCAAAGGGATCTGAAACCCTTTGTGCAACAGCTGGTACATCTAGGCTTATCCTTGTGTCTCCTTTCTAAAAGTCCCTCCCCTAAGCCAGCCACCACCTCATCTCAAGCCTTGACACAATAAAAAGACCTCCCTGTTCAATCTACAGATACTCACGTGGGTCAACATTACAACCCTCTGCCCCCAATTACTTCCCACAGATCACTATACTCAACATCCTGCTTTGGGGTAAAAAATGGACAAAAAGTATTTTAAGAGAAGGCTAAAAAAGAGCTCATTGGTATAAATAGGAAACCATATTACTAAGTCTATTATACCAAAATAAGAATATGTCCAAGCAAATTCCCTTTGTTTTTTAAAGGTTAATCCCCTGGTTGGTAGAGTGGCTCCCAATTCCGCTCTGAATTAAGAGAGAACTGTGCTGAAGTAGACCTTTCTTCTGTCCTCTCCATCCACACACCC